ACATCAGCGTACACACAGTGGAGAAAGGCCATTTTCCTGTGATGTATGTAACAAATCATTCAATCAACAGAGTCATCTGAAGGCACATCAGCGTACACACAGTGGAGAAAGGCCATTTTCCTGTGATGTATGTAACAAATCATTCAATCAACAGAGTCATCTGAAGGCACATCAGCGTACACACAGTGGAGAAAGGCCATTTTCCTGTGATGTATGTAACAAATCATTCAATCAACAGAGTCATCTGAAGGCACATCAGCGTACACACAGTGGAGAAAGGCCATTTTCCTGTGATGTATGTAACAAGTCATTCAATCAAAAGTGTAATCTGAAGGCACATCAGCGTACGCACAGTGGAGAAAGGCCATTTTCTTGTGATGAATGTAACAAATCATTCAATCAACAGAGTAATCTGAACCAACACCTACGCATCCATAGAAGGGAGCGGCCATATTCCTGTGATATCTGTAAAAAATCGTTCGTTCAGAAGGATTCTTTGAAGAAACATCTACTTATACATTGTAGATAGCAGCCACATTTATGTGATGTATATAATAAATGATTTTTTATCTGCATAATCTCTTTAATGACTATTTCAGTGACATTAAATCTTTTCGTTAATAGAATAATCCGAGTCAATACATGTGAGGGGTGCTCATATTCTTGTGAGATATGTGAGTCTTCCTATTATCAGAAGAGTTTGCAGAAGTATTATTGCATACACAGATTAAAGTAACTATTGTCCCATCATGAATAAGACTTTTCTGCTGTCAGAATGCAAATGAATACAACTCGTGCACATTTGTTTTGTACAGGAATAGTATCCAGGATAGGAATAGTTATTGTGCATCTGAGGTAGAAGGCAGTCACACTCTTGTGTAATACAATGATGAGCATCTCATGATGTATGACGTGAAGTTTCTCGGCGCCTAAATGCAATAAAATCTCGCTTCAAGCAAGCGAAACAGTGGCAGTGATGTCCTTTTGGTTTAACAATTTTATTCAGTTTATTACTTCCAAAACATTTTATAACTGTTTCCTTGATATGGAGAATGTTATATAATTTTAAAATGGGTTTAGCATCTGTCATTATTGTTATTTTCAGTTGCATATTTTACTGATAGTTCAGATTAATCTGACTAATCATCAGGTTACTTGCAGGTCAAACAAGAGTCTAAGTTGCAATGGCTTTATTATAAATAGCCCGCCTTCGGAATGATGTGCTTGGAAATGTCACAGTGAGATCTAAGTGACTGCCATATGTGCATTCAGATGCAGAAAACTTTTTTGTTTTTTGTCAAAGATACTCCTACATAGTGGCAGGTATATTTTTTGTTCTTCCCATGTATATTGCATTTGCTGCTAGTCTAATCACTATTTGTTACCAAAGGATAATATACTAACCTTGTCCAGGAAACTTCAGATGATACGTGCTAGGAATATGTGAAGTACGTAAGTGTGTTTTGTTTCTAACAGTTGTCTTGGTTGAGTTTGAGGGCTTGAAGGTAATCACTCACTCCCATGTAGTGCCAATAGTAAGAATGTAAGAAACTACAGTTCCATTTTGTCATATCTGATCATAGGTTGATTAGTCACACCTTAGTCATCAATAAAGTACACGAATAACTCCACCGTCTTTACCTTTTTCATAAACTGAGCCA